GAAGATGCAAAAGAAGCGGACCTTGCCTTTTCATAGTCCGCTTTAATGTACTTTACATGCATATGTACATAGTAATGTAGGCATGTTAGATGCCCAAGCCACCTCACCTGGCACTTTTCATTGGGTGAACAGCAGCTCTGTTCTGTATAGCCCTGTTCCCTGTCATAGAGAGTAAGGCCTCAGTTCTACAGAAAAGGTAAAAAACTGTCTTGGACCTGCACAGCCTCATTGGCTCAGTCATTAACCATGGTTCATTACCTCAGGTGAAGTTGGAGATGGACTTAGGGCATTATGGGCATGTTACAGTAGCAATTGTGGCAGCTTTTGGCGCAAAGATTCAACTCGCCTTCCGGTATGACATCCCTCTCTTCAGTTGACCCTTTCTTGCAGAGATTCTGCGGAATTTCTGCCAAAGTCCAACCTTTATTAGGGAAGGTGACAGTTGCATTTTGGCAATTCTGACTTTGGGGAGGTGTCACTATTGGCATCATTGCTTGTGTGACATGTCCCTAACACTGGGGTGGACATATTAATATGGGATTTAGGAGCCAGTCTGTCCAATCCAGTAGTCAGTAGAATTATTTTTTTTTAGAGTTATCTCCATTATTGAAATAGAGAAAACGTTTTTAAAGTTAGGTGCCAGCTGTACATTTTGAGGAGCATTGGCTGCCTGGCTCCCGGGATTTTTCCAGGCCTGCCTTAACAAGTCATTGGGATGGTAGTCCTATTTTGTTCTTAAATCCATGTTTTGGGTTTCACATTGTATTATAACTTGCAATTATGCTGTGCTTTAAAGTGAACCTGTCATTAAAAAAATAACTCTCAGGCTTTTGTAAGCAGTCTAAAGCAAGCAACACAGGGTGCGTACTAGGAATGCACCGATACTTGCCCAAATGCTCCGATACCGGAACTGCCAGGCACCGGGAGATTCCCTCTGACTGGCAGTGCCACAAGGGGGCATGGGGCCGGATTCCCAGTTTATCAGGAAGCCGGTCGGTAGGTTATGACCCACCTCCCACCTTTCTGATTGGCTAGGAAGCCGGCTTCACGCTGCCTAGCGATACTGCGAGGGAAGACACTCCACACAACTTCCTGATTAATCAGGAAGCTAGGCTGCCTCACAGTGTCGTTAGGGAGCGTGAAGCCAGGCCCACGCTACCTCGGAATGCCGAACTCTGTATCGGTGAGTACTGATTAAAAAAAATAAAAATCGGTACTCGATACTGGAAAAACAGTATCGGTGTATCCCTAGTGCCAACACATAAACTTGAAGCCTAAAAGCAGCATTTGCTGGTTGACTATGGGCGGCGTTTGCTGCTTGACAATGGGCACTTCACACCTCACCGCATGCAATCATGCACAATTCCGTGCGGATTGCCACGTGGTCAGGAGTTGCCAAGGTGTGAACCGATCACGCTGTGGGTGCCATTATTTTCTAATGGCACCCCAGTCACGCTGGGCGAATCGCACGGTTTCCCACCGCGATTCCGAACACCTAAAACAGCCGTGCCTCGTGTATCGCAAAAGAAAAAGGTACACGTACCTTTTTTCTGCCATTCCCGCGTGGAGGTCACCCCATTGAAATCAGTGGGGCCGTGTGGCAATCGCTGCCTGCATTGTATAGGACCGCACGGCAATCGCTGCCTGCATTGTATAGGACCGCGCGGCAATCGCTGCCTGCATTGCATCGGACCGCGCGGCAATCGCTGCCTGCATTGCATCGTGCGGTGTAGTGCAGGTGTGAACCTAGCCTTAGGGGCTCCTTTGGTACTGAGGGAAAATAGGCAAATGCAAGTACATTTATGGTTCCTGCTTTTAGCTGTGTATATTATCCCAATTTACTTTTTCTTCATTTTCTTATGTAGGATACAACCTAATGTGGATCTCTGCATTGAATAACCATATGTATCATCAGTGACTAACACTGGGATTTCCTGACTGGTGATACCACAGTAGCATAGCTTACATATTAACGTGCACATTAAATTTGCGTTACATGCAGTCGTCAGTCCTTTATTATAAAACGCACAGTTCATGTGTTAAATATTATTATAGACCATTAAAACCAGCTTTGCACTGGTTGTGAAAAAGACTAGACTTTCATCTTCCTTTTAGTAGAAAACATCTACTTGAGTCTCCTGCTGACTTCATCCATTGTAAGTGTTTTAACACTCTCTTATTTACATCTCGTATGGACGCAACCACATAACTACCTATATAATATTTATATTGGTAGTATGTGGTCATTACAGTGATTACAGCTGCAACATTTTAGGTGTTTAGGACTAAAAGGCCATCATAAGACCAGGCACCACTAAGTGCCTGCTAATACCTTTATCGATGATTAGCCCCAAGTTCAGGAAAATTGGGCCATTAGCACCAGTATAAAGCCAGGATCGGATGAGAGCACAAAGAAGGGCTTTCTAATAAAGATTCTATGGAGCCTTTAGCTTTATGCTTCTTTGTGCAGTTGAATTAATTGCATTGTCCTAGGAAGTATGTGATGTGCCTTTTTTTTTTTTGCTTCCTTTTTTTATCTTTAGTTTGTTTTGTTGGAAAGTGTGAATGATTGCAGGTAAAAGTGATGTTAATGGATGCTAACAGAAAAAGAAAAATGCATAAAACGCCTTCGATTCAGGAAAACAACATTTGTATGAGAATAATTCCTCAGATGGCTGCAAAGTGCTGCATTGTATGTTTGATCAAACAGCACAACATTGAGAGTGTTTAAGCTAGGCTTGGACAAATCTCACCCAGAACTAGGTGCCAGTGCTATAGTGGAAGTCGAGGATTAATCTTTTATGAAAACATACAGTGGTCCAGCTTGGCTCGATGTAAGTATCCATATCTGATATCCGGAGGATTGCTGGGGATGCTGAAAGTTACTGTAGTAGGCTACACTCAATATAGTGATAGCCGTGATCTTCCTGGTGTGGCTCCAATGGCTTCCCCTCTGAACACAGGGAGATCCTTGCTTGGCCATCACCACCACCATGTGGCCTTGTATTTTTTTCACTGGATACAAGACGTTCTGTGATTGGAGGTGGAGAGTGTGATATCACCCGTCTCTCGTCTCCATCTCATCCAATTAGAGAATGCCATTTATTCATTGAACAAATACAAGACTTTCCGTGGATAGCAGCGGTTCTAAGCAATTGACTTCCTGTGCTCAGTGTGCAGAAGGGAAGCCACTGGAGCCGCACCTGAAAGATCACAACTATCGCTGTATGTAGCTCGGACTATTATAGTGATTTTCAGCATCCCCTGCAGCATTCCGGAGATCAGATATGGATACTTGCATCAAACCAAGCTGGGCCAGTGTAAGATTCCTTAAAGAACTATGAGGTGAGTGAAAATCATAGTTCGAGCCAACGTGTGACAATGAAACTGTCACACGTCAGCTCAATAGATCGGGAAGTGAGCGAACACATACCGTCGCTCACTCACTTCTCTATCATCTCCTTGCAGAGAGCAGTGACTGTCAGTCACGGATCCCTGCAGGGTTTCCCCCTCCCCACTCCGATCTTCCAGCACTGAGTGTAGGAACGAATGTGGTGGGGGCGGGCACAGCCGCCTCTGCCTCTAGATAGGCAGAGCCCGCTGTCACTCACGCAGCTGGGTGGATCTTGACAGTAATGCCGGGATCTGTCCCGGCTGCAGCGGTCTCAGTATACCGCGATCTGTAGCACGCGATATACTGAGCTTTGGGTCACGGGAGGACGCTAGTATATTTCCTCCCGTGACCCTAAAGGGAACTAAGGGAAAAACACTTACCCCATAGTTCTCTTTTAAGTTTGTTCCTAGAGTTCCACTTGAAAATGGAAGAACAAGCACTAACCAACCTGTATATGACTATATAGGTAGCTGAAAGATACATAATAAAAAAAGGAAAACCTTTGTTCTGTTTGTGTTTTGCTGACATTTTATATCTACACTGATAATGTAAGCCCCAGTGTTTTTCTATGAAAAGCATGTATGCAGTCATACACATATGGAGCTTTGGGGAAAAGGGTGGGAGTTGGTATGGGAAGATCAGAATTTGTGTTTAATCACAGCTTCTCCTTTTGTATGTCATGGCTGTCAATGATAGACGGCTCATAGTTACCAGCAATCTTAAAGGAGAACTAGAGCCAGCTGTACCCGCCCCCTCCCCCGTCCGTTCCGCCAGTCAGCGCTGGCGGGGAGGGGGGATTTAAAGAGTTTAGATCACTGCTCTGAATAAGAGACAGCCGAATTTCGCAGTCAGCACCCTTTCGGCCGGCATTCCTTGATCAACTGATCGAAGGAGCTGTTCGGCAATTCTTCATACGATCAGAGGCGGCTGCAGGCCGCTGTCAGAATTAAAAAGAAGCAGCGGGGATTCCTTGATCAACGTGCTTGTAGCGTTACATAGTTGGTAAGGTTGAAAAAAGTCCATTGAGTTCAACCTATAGAGATGGAGGAATCTGCTCAGTTTTTATCATTAGAATTTATAACATTTGGGTTGAACAAAAAAAATATTGTAGTGTATGGCCAGCTTTAGAATCTGACACTGGTGGGAATATCAGAAGCCTGCGTCCCCCGCTGTGTGCTGTGGTTCAATCTGCTGACCCTCCTGCTTTAGTACTGTAGCTTGTTGTGATATAGGGTGGGAAGAACTACATCTTCAAGTGCGGACCAGGTTTCTGACACCCCTGGTAATGTCCAATGTGAAGAGGCCATTGCTCTACCAGAGAGTGAAGATCGAAGGAACGAGCTACAGGACTGGCTTTTTTTTTTTTCCTTTTTTTTTTTTTTTACATTTATCGATAATTTTGATTAATAATTTAGACATTAATTTGTTTTTTTTATTTATTTTACTTGGCCTCTTTAATGTCGTGTATATTTTAGAAACAGCTCTGCCATTTATAAACAGCTCTGCCATTATAAACTATGTAAGAGTTTTAAACCAGAGTTCTCCTTTAGTCATTCGTTTCTGATGATCTAATGGCCCTTTTTAATCTTTTCTCTTTCAGGTCACATCTTCCACTATGTGCTGACTGTCTGTATTTACAGAAGATATATAAGAAAGACAAACTTTATTTTGGAAAGGTTTTTTGATTCCAGTGGAATCTGTGCTTAAGCTCCCTACCCTTTGCTTTGCAAGCTCCTATTTTCAAGTGGGACAACATGCCTGTACAAGCTCCACAATGGACCGACTTCCTGTCCTGCCCTATTTGCACACAGACCTTCGACGAAACCATCCGGAAGCCCATCAGCTTGGGTTGTGGGCACACCGTCTGCAAGATGTGCCTGAACAAGCTTCACCGCAAGGCTTGTCCGTTTGACCAGACCACCATAAACACAGACATTGAACTGCTGCCTGTCAACTCTGCCTTGCTGCAGCTGGTGGGAGCTCAGGTGAGTACTTCATTTATCTTATTTTTGTCATTCACAGTTGATAAGACCAGTCACCAGAGTATCGCTTTCTGTATAGTCCCCTAAAGTGGACCTGTCATTCCAATTCACATGAATTAGAAAGGTATCAGCCCTTTTAAATCATATTTTCACTCACAAAAATATCTTTCTTGCCATGAATAAAGATGAAGGTTATCTTGAACACCTTGTATGATCTAAAACCCAAGCAAAGACCATTTGGTCTGCCTACCAAGATCATTGTAGATCTTTAATGTCATTAGTAACAGTGACTATGGTCTACCTGTCTGGTAGGCTTGCACTGAGATAAGAACAGTGGGACACTACCAGGAAGCAGGGACTTTATATGTAATTAGCAAAAATGGCTGACCTGGGTACATGTATATTCACTAACAGGGTTATTCACTAAGACCGGGTTCACACCTGGGCGTTTTACAGCGCTGATCGACGCGCTGTAAAACGCTCAAACAGTGAAATCCCATACTTCTCTATGGGCATGGTTCCCACCTGGGCGTATTTCAGCCCGTGGAAACGCGCTGAAAAACGCCCTACGCCCAAACAAGTACAGGAGCTTCTTTGGGGCGTTTTTCCGCGCATTTCCATTGCTATTCCCGAGTGTGGCTCGGGGTTAACAAAGCGGTAACCCCGAGCCACACTGGGGAATACAACGTAGGACTTGCCTTATCCGCTATCCCCGCTGTGTCCTCCGGCGACTTCCGGGTTCCGTCCCTTTCGAGCGGCCGCGTCGCAGGGGGGCGGAGCCGGCGGGAAGTTTGTAAGTGATTTTTTTTTTTAAATAAAGAAAATAAGGAAAAAAAAAAACTAAATCATACCGCCAGTAAAACGTGCGTTTCACTGAACTGAAAAACGTGGAAAAAACGAGCAGAAAAAATACACCAGGTGTGAACCCAGCCTAAAGGGTGAAGAGTTTGGAGAAGGCAGGAGAAGTGAACAATCTAGGCCAACATAGCACAACTGGAATGATAATTTTTCCAAATCGGCCATGTTGTCCTGTCCTAGATTGTTCACTTCTGCCTTCTCCAAACTCTTCACCCTTTTGTGCACAACCCTGTAAATATTCATGGAAACGGATTTTAAGAGATTGGCATGCTTTAAAATTGACCTTTACCTCCTTTGTATAAAAATCACATTGTCATATATCTCTGCATGCTGATATGAAATCATCTTCCATTCATTAGCTAAACAAACATTGTTTTATTGTACTTTTTGTTTTTCCCCACTTCCTGGTCCACTTTGGCACAAATCATGTTATCGTGCCCAAGCATTGCATCCTGGGAAGGTTACATCAGCAGAGCATTGGTGGGATATCTCATTTGTAATCTCATGAGATCTCAGGGAAAGGCTTTTTCCTCCCCTGAGATGATGTGCATGTCCCAGAGTTCCAGGAAGTAAAGGGAGAGATATTGATCCGCTGTTAGTATACTGGGGAGGAAAAGTAAGGTATGCAAAAAATACAAAGCCGGCAATTATCCGTTGTGTAAATTTCAGAACTAGATAGAAATACAAATCCTTTGGCAAGTAACACAACTCGCTTATATGTATGACAGGGCAGGTCAGTGTTGACAACATAAAAATGACTATATTTGCTATTTAAAGTAAAGTTTCACAACATTAGGATGCTTACACTCATCAAGTGGCATCTGAATATTGTACTATATGAATGCAAGATTGCATTAGGCACGTTTAGTATGAAAGGAATGGAGGAAGTGTGTACAAAGTGTAAATTACATTTCATCAGTAACCTTGAATGACCACATGAAAGTTCTATTAGTGGAGCTCCTTCAATAGCCATGGGCTTGTCCTCCATTACGGTCAGGAAAAATGCTGTATGCACTATTTATTTTTTTCTGACCGCACCGGACCAGAACACAGGCATTGATGTGCCACACGTTCGCGAGCGGGCGATCACACTGCGGCCACGCCCCCTCCCGCCCCTGAACACAGGGAGCTGGCTGGGATGCGATCCAGTGCGTTCAGGCACCAAATCGGGCCGGAACGCACTGTTTGTAGTGTGAACTAGCCCTAATACAGCCCCCCTGCCCCTCTCTACCACTGCTTCAGGCGGCATATATTGGCTATTGCAATTTGAAATGGCCAATAGCATGCAGGCTATTGCACCCTCCCACTACCTGCTGTATTTACATTCAGCTGCCGTCTGTGGAATCATGCCACCGGAAGCTGTCCTTCCCTGCCTAAAGCTTTTCAAGCGCCATGTGCTTACAATTAGAGGTGCACCGAAATGAAAATTTTAAAAATGAAACCGAAATGGAAAACAATGTCGGTCCCAAACCAATTTTTTTTATTTTTTACATTTTTTTAAATATTTTATTTTTATTTATTTTTATTATTTTTTACTTTACTTTTAGGGGCTTCGGGGAAATATTAGGGGTCTAAACAGACCCCTGATATTTCCCTTTTAAAATAGAAAAAGAGATTGAGGATTTGTATCAGGACAAGTAGATTGTCATGAGGGACAAGTAGATTCGGCCCCCGCTTTAGTCCTTGGACAAGTAGTTTTTTGCGGTGTATACTTGCTCTCCTTCCTGACAGCTGTCACAGGAGGCTGAGCGAGCGGTGGGGAAGGAGAGCTTGATCTGACAGCTGACTCCTTCCCCGCATCGACGGCCGGCCTCCTGTAAAAGCGCTGGCTGTCTCCGCCCACACACCGCTCTCCCGATCTGTAACAGTAGGCTGAGCGGTGCGGGGAGGAGAGACACCGGCCGCTCACAGCACTCTCCTCCCACAGTGCTCGGCCACCTGTGACAGTTTCTCTCCTCCTGCTGGGACACAGAGCAGCACCCAGCGGGGAGGAAAGAAAGCATGGATGCACCACTATATCGGCAAAAAATGGCACTTTCGACATTTAGCCAAAAGTGCAATTTTCGGCCGATATATCGGTGCATTCCTATTTACAATACAATTATTACAAAAATTATATTATAAAAAGGTGGTAAAAAAAGTCAGTTTTGGTTTCAGCCTGACAAAGTCTGCTGCGGGAGGTGCGTTACAGTGCCATTCATTTCACCCCAAACGCGCCTCCCACCCGCACTGGAACGCACAGTACTGCAATGCTGTGCATTCCAGTGCAGTGCGATTGCAAAAAATTGCGCATACAGTTTTATTCTGAAGTAAACTTTGTTGCACTCCATTTGTGTATTTTATTTTAAATTAAGGACAGTATTGAAATATTTTTTTATCTAATTACCGTATTTTTTGCTCCATAAGACGCACAAAAGGCGGGGGAAAATGTTTGTGCGTCTTATGGAGCGAATCCCTAGTTTTTTGTACATTTAGCCCCGCTAAAGCAGAGCTAAGCGTACAATGGAAGCCGCTGCTCGTTTAATACAATTGATTTATTCAGATCACTTGTATTAAAACCGAGTGGCTGCGCCGCCGCCCCCTGCCATGGCCACAGGATAGGAGCTCACCATAGAGTTCCTAGAGCAGACGAAGAACGCCTGTCTCGGCATTCACTTACTTCAGCTTCTGTCACAGCTTCTGTCACAGAAACTGCCTGCGTCCTATGTACCGGTGCGCCTTATGGCGCGCAAAATATGGTAATCAAAAAAATAATCGGCCAACTAATCAATTCTGAAAATACTCATTAGTTGCAGCCCTAAGTATATGCCTTCCCGTGACCCAAAAGCAAACTAAAAAAGGCTGCCCCACTGTTCTACTTTAAATAAGAAATTGCTTCACCACCAGTGAATGTTTAGTGAAAGTCACATTCACAGCCTCATCAGGATTTTTTTTTTAAATTTCTTTGCAGTTGTGTTTTTTTTCTCTCTGCCAAATGGAAATGACACCTTGGAATACATTAGATGATAATACAGGACTTATTTTTTCTGCATCATTCTAATATTTCATTGTAGGCCAACCCTTTGTTTATAATTTCCCATTATTGGCCAGTTACACCTTACTGAGCAACCACCTTGGATGAGCCTAGCGTTACAGCTCACCAGTGATGTGTATAGGGAAGCACGTTTCCCGAGCTGTGTGTAGATGAATCACCCGTTCTAACTGCAATAGTGTGTCTGTGCCCTGGTATACAGCTTTGTGTCACAGGGAGGGCCGACCTTCCTAGGATTCAGCAATTTCTCTTTGACTCATGGCCCCTGCACAATTAAAAAGCTACTACTGGTTTTGTTGGTGTACATGTCTCTGTCTCTTAATGGGATACTGCTTTGTGATCTTGCACTTGCGAAACAGCATGTCTTCAGCATTAAGGGCTAGTTCACACCAGAACTGCATGCGTCTACACAGCTGCAATGTGATCCGTTTTGCTGCGATTTTTTACTGCAATTGATGCATTATTTTTTTTGCTTAAAATGGGATTTCATGTGCATTTGCATGCTTTTTTATGTGTTCCGTTGCGATCCAATGCAGCTAAAATGAGGCAAGCAGTATTTTTTCTGACTGCATCGGAACGGACTGCACTGGGGCGAGGGTCCAGTCACACCATCAAGAGTGCGTTCCAGTGCCTCTGGAGCACAACCCGGCTCACTTTTTTGGGGGGTGGAAGGCGGCGTGGTGGTGCATTGAAGTCAATGGTACCAGCCACGCCCCCCACGCGCGGTACGATCGGCGGCATCCTAACGCGTGGGATGCGTTCCGGTCCACTACGATATGTAAAAAACAGTGTTTGCAGCATTTTTTGCAGATCACACTGGACTGGAACGCAGGCACTAATGTGCCATGCGTTCGGGTGCCGGCGGTCCCAACGCGTGGGGGGGGGGGGCGTGGCTCCGGGGCCATTGAGTTCAATGCACCGCCACGCCCCCTCCCGCCCCAAAACAAAGCCAGCCGGCCACGTTGCGTTGCAGAGGCCGAATGCACTCCTGATGGTGTGACAGGGCCCTGAGTAGAGCAGCAGAAATCCCATAGGAAAGCATTGTGATATATTTTGGCTGCAGCAGCCAAACTGAATGGACTTCATCACAACTGCATCTGGTGTGAACTAGCCCTTGAGATTTCATGTTAGAGCAGTACTGGGGACTTTCATATGAATGTTTCTTCATTACCACTTTACTTCCTAATTCCAGGGGATCCTTGGCACTAGGGGAGATGGTTGTTAAAGTTTATGTGCACAATGCTTGGTGTGCAAAAGTAAAACTTTGCCTACACTGCCAGCTACACATGCACAGGGGCTTTCTTGCTTGCCCATCGCCTGTGTATTCGTTGTTTCCTGTGAAGAAGTACAGAGCAATAGTTGTCTATTTCTTGAAACATCTGCTCAACAGACTATTGGGATCAGGTCACACAGTATGGAGTATGATAAACTCTCCAGTGACCTTGTCTTGTCATCGACTTTCTCACTCCATCTATTAAGTAAGGTGCCAGTTGCAGTGTTGCAGATGGCGGTGGCCCATAGCGTCTACAAGTATGCTTTTAAGAACTCAGAAAAGCTTGTGTCTTTGCTGAATGGAGATCTCTATATCTGACTAAGAGGATGTGGGGACAGCTGCAGAGACGCTGCTGCTTCCACTCCGAGAGCCACAGTCCTGCTCTGTAGCTTGTGCTTGGAGACGGGTGGGTGGGGGGCGGGGGGCTTGTAGAGATTTATCAAAACGGGAGCAGACAAAATCTAGAGCAGATTTGCACTGCAGCCAATCAGCTTCTCTCTTTCATTTTCAAATCTTACCTGAGCACACTGAAGAGGAATGCTGATTAGTTGCCATGAGCAACTGTTCCAGATTCTGTTTGTTCCGGTTTTGATAAATTCCTCCCAGGTTATTTTACTATGGCTGTGGCTACTCTACCAGCAAAATGGTAAGACGTGATTCTAGCAAGTGTTGCAGTTACAAGATGGTTGGTTCCATCATAATAGAAACGCAGCAATAAGAAATGAACCATAACAATTAAAATGGTTTACAACTCTGATAGGGTTTAATTGCTGTCTGCATTCCGCTTGGAGAGATTTTACCTCACTTCCTGTGTTGGTGGTGGATGTCACTGAAACAGGGAAGGTCTCCAGAGTATGAGCACAGTCAGCAAGAGGAGATCTGCCAGAGGTTCTAACCCTTTCCCTCTGTAAGCTAAACTACAGAAAACAGGTTTGGGTTTGAACAGCATCTTGTTCGGGCGCCATACAATAAACCATCAGCGGATTCTTAATGCGACCTTTACCCCCTTTCACTTAAAATCACAGCCGCATGTAGCTCTGCATGCTGATTTAAGATAATCTTGCATTCATTAGGTAACCAAACATGTTTTTACTTACAAATGGAGTTCATCACTTCCTGGTCCAGTTCTGGCAAAATTATCTAAGTCCCAAAACATTGTATCCTGGGAAGGTTACATCAGCAGAGCACTCCTGGGAAATCTTCTCAGGGAAAGGTATTTTCCTTCCCTGAGATGATGTGCATGGTCACATGTCCTAGTCACATGTGCCAGATTTTTAGGAAGTAAAAGGAGAGCTAGTAACCCGCCCTTCGTTAACATGGCTAGTGTCAGAAGACTGAGGAAGAAAAGAGAAATAAGGAATGCAAAGAATACAAAGCCTGCAATTATCTAGTAGTATGTGTTTGTAGCTTAGAGGAATCTCTGCTGCCATCTATTCCATGCGACAGCTGGTGGCTTTACGTCTTTTAGAATACCCAGATACATGCCTACAGTTACTGTTTGGCCGGCAATTTTCCACTTTTCCACCCGGCTCCTTCGATTGAGAAATCCAATTTTGTTGACGATTCAGCAGGGAATAGGCAAAATGAAATCTGTGTATGGTCAACTTTAGTTTTGGTGAGATAAATGATGGACAGTTGTACCAAAAAAAACCAAAAAGATCTATGTTGCCTGCTGCAGTAATGAATGAAAATTGCTGTCACTTCCAGTTTTTATTTCCTCTTATATAATCCAAGGTGGTGAGTTTTGCACATAGAGATTTGTTTTTGCAGAAAAGGTCACTGTGATGTTTTCTGCACATTATAGATAATTGGTAAGTGTCATAAGGTGGGCTTTCTTTTCATACAGTGTTCCCATTTGCTCTACAGGTACCTGAGCAGCAGCCAATCACTCTGTGCAGCGGGGCTGAAGACACCAAACACTATGAGGAGGCCAGAAAGTGTGTGGAAGAGCTGGCACTTTACCTGAAGCCCCTCAGTACTGCGAGAGGTAAGATCACTCTTGCTAATGTAAACACTCGGAAATTATCTTTTCATTGGCCCGTGCAGCCGAAGGGAGCAAGCAGAGTTGAATATGTTTTGCATGGGGATGTGGAGTGACCATTTCGTCTTTGTCCTGCAATGGACAAAGGGAGGGGGGGGGTTCAGTTCAAATGATTGGTGAGCTGAACCTGCCATGTCCACCAAAGTCTATAAATAAAGTCACACTAATTTAACTGTTAACAAAAATGTATCTTTGTGTATCACTCGGTTGTAGATCCTCAAATCATCTCTGAGTTGGTGCTTACACTGTGCATCCTTCTGGAGGGTGGCTACATTTGTTGCCCTTGGTCCCTGTGTGTGTTGTAAAGTAGACACCGCTCCAAGCTCACTACCGTGATGGACTACAATCTCAATACAAACTGGTAAACTAAACGTGAGATTGTAGTCCATCACGGGAGCGAACTTGGAGCGTTGGCCATTCTTGAGTGCTATATCTCAAAACCCATGGCCGTTGTAATTATGCACAACCCTGAACTTACCCATGACAATTCTATATGGCATGCTCATCCCGAAATTCACACCACTGGCTTGCTTCTAGAATAGTGTCTTGAGGATGTTGGTGTTCACAAAGAGAAGAGCCGTGCAGCACGAAATTAAAGCCAAGAGACGGCACCCCTGCCTAGATGCTCTACGAAAGTCATGTAGCATTGACATTTGCCATACTGCACACTAGATCTGTCCTTTATAACCGGCTGCATCATCACGTGTGTACATTTTCAAGGGTTTGCTGAAACACTGGTATGATCTTACAGGATGTCTACATATGCAGGCTATAGATGTGTGTTACTCTTCGCTTATAAGAGGAAGTGTTTTGTTGAGAATTTACACTTCCTTTTCGCATCCTACAGATTTGTGTACAACTCCCCAAGGACTATTTCAAGAACTTATAACTGTAATGCTTTAAAAGAACGTCGTCAAAGGAACTAAAATTAGCTTTGCTTTGATTTTTTTTTTTTTTTTTTTTTCACAGTAAGCTTATAAATTAAGTTGTAAAGAAATTCTCTGTTCCCGTTCACACTTTCATCACCCACTTCTGATGCATCTACTGCTAACAGAAACTCTCTAACAAGGATGAAGTCTACATAGATTGACTTTTTTTTGTGCCTTTTGTTTTTTTAGGACAAGTGCTGATGCAGGCTATGGCCTGTTCTCAGATCTGTTATGTGCTTTTATGTTATTTTCCGTACTGCAAGTGAAATTCCTACTTTACTTGAGAGAAATGTCCTCTCTACTACTGTATATACATTGGAAGGACTTTAGTAGAGTTAATCGCAGGTCCTTAAATATTTTGTTTTGTAGATGTTGAGTTAGGCCATGGCAGAACTTCCGCAGGCTGAGTGAGCAGGTCTTCCTGTTATGATCACATGATCAGTCAGTATTGTAATACAGGAAATGTTTGGCCCTTTAACACCCTGTATGAGCAAAGATGAAAGGCCAACTGCTGTAAAATGAAGTGTAGTGTGTGAGACACCTGTAGATTTCGGGTAGAAGCAGTGAGCCAATCACATGAGAAAAGTATGACATTTCTGTGCACAGAGTACAGTTGCGGTGAATACTAACCAATAGATCAGGTGGGAAAAGGCATCTAGAAAAGTCAAGCGGCTTTAGTTGCTGTAGTTCTGGGTGCTGCTCACGAGCTGATTGGCTGCAGTAATGGTGACGCGTCCCCCTGCCAATTGTTATAAATGAGTTGAAGGACTTTTCCCATGTACACTGGAGCTGAACCCTTTTTTTAAAATATTCATTTGTGATGTAGGCAGAATATTAATTTGCCTTTGAAGATGACACGACTCTCACAAGCACAAACGGGGTTTATAATGTTGCAGTGTAGACAATCAGTGGTAATTAACCGTGACTACACAGATGATATTTAATATATCAATTGTATTGCTAAAAAATGTTCCTAATTCTTACACGTGATTTCTTCCAGTAGCAAAACTGACCAGTCAATGAGCATTGCTGCAATTTAATTTACTGGCAGCATCTGTAGGCAGATAATTCCTTCTACTCTTCTCCCCAGACTTGAATTAGGAATCGGAGGTTAACTACTCAATAGTTGCCATTTAGGAGACTGATGGGCATTTTGTTCATTCTGATATAACCCCGAAAGATTAGTCCTTTTGAGACTTACCTCTTAAAAGAATCCCATACTGCAATATAGAGGCTGTCATTGCTGACCTGCTATTGAAATCTGGCTTCAGTACTTGAGTCACTGACCTGGAACAAGCATGAAGGTTGATGTGACATCAGAACTCTTGCTCTGCATACTTTTTCTAGGTCTGTGCCTCTGAAAGTATTGAATTCCCCCGGATCAGCGTGGCAGCCAGGCAACCAGTGCTTTCAGAGGAGTTCAGTAATTGCAGCCTCCATATTCTTTTAGTGTTGCTCTCCTGTAACTATTGCCCAGCAATCTACTGCAGCTTCACTAAATGGGGGGACTATTGCATCAGGAGACCTTTTCAGCCTCTAAAACTGACATTTTTACTTGTAGCCCTTTTTTCTCCTTTCTTCAGGCTAATGGCAAACTTAGAGGATTCACTTCTAAGCTTGATCAGTCAGCAGCCTTCCCTACCGAGTGATCAAGTGGCTCATAAGGGGTGAAAAAGGTCTGGTGGAGGATCCAGTTTGGAGATGGATAATCTATTACAATAAACTGTGGGGATTTCTGGTGTGTTAATATTCTCCCTTTCATGCTCGGACCCATATTGGTTGTGTTCTAAAGAGTTGATAAAAAAAAAAGCAAAGGTTTATTTTTTCTAAATTTTGGACCCTTCACTTCTCCAGGTGTCGGTCTAAATAGCACCACCCAAAGTGTGCTGAGCCGCCCCATGCAGAGGAAGCTGGTGACTCTTGTTCATTGCCAGCTGGTGGAAGAAGAGGGACGTATTCGAGCAATGCGAGCAGCTCGTTCACTGGGCGAAAGAACCGTCACCGAGCTTATCCTGCAACATCAGAACCCCCAGCAACTCTCCTCCAACCTGTGGGCAGCTGTTCGTGCCCGCGGCTGTCAATTCCTCGGTCCAGGTACGTTCCATCTGTATTTTCAAACCAATGTCCTACAATTGTGGAATTTACAGCACTGCTAGACTTCTAGAACTACAGGCCTCCACAGGGAACCATCAGAATCAAATTTGCCTTCAAAGTTTACATTTAGTTGTCAATACAAGAAGCAGATAGAGGAAGTTACATGGCATAGGCTCCAGGAAGTAGACTCCCAGTGACCCTGTGAGTTCTTGCTGTAGTGAATTATAGAGAATAAAGCTTAATGTAAATGACCTGATTTCTTTTTTATTGACTTGTTGCTTGGAATTGCTTCTTAAGACTTTGTTATGTGTGTTGCAGCCATGCAGGAAGAAGCCCTCAAGCTTGTCCTCCTGGCCCTGGAAGACGGATCTGCTCTCTCCCGAAAGGTCCTGGTTTTGTTTGTGGTGCAAAGACTGGAACCGCGCTTTCCTCAAGCCTCGAAAACTAGCATTGGGCATGTTGTCCAGCTGTTGTACAGAGCCTCTTGCTTTAAGGTATAGATTGTTTAGTTTCCTTGTACATTAACATTCCGGCATCCCTAAGCAGCTTGAAAAAGTTGTATTTTCTGTGTAACACCGGCCTTGTCAAAAAAGTAGAAGAACAATGTGTTGTTCTCTCCTACCCATACAAAGTCATTTTAAAAAAAAAAATAGTTCTAAAAAATATGAAAATGTGGCACCCACGGCAGTCGCACAGGTTGCTTTTTTGTGCTTAGAAGATTTATTTTAACCGATGTGTGGCAATACCTTCATCTGGTAAAGAGCGCTGATGAGCAGTGTCACGATTAAGTGGTATGTGGACTTGATGAAAGTTGTGATACCTGAATGATGAACAGGGTGGATATTCCTTTCATGGTTTAGGACAGGGGTAGCCCAAGTCTAGCCCTCCAGCTGGAGTGAAACTACAATCCCACCATGCATTTGCCTATGGAAGTCATGCCTGTGGCAGTCAAAGTCTTGTAATGCCTTATTGGATTTGTAGTTGCACTACAGCCGGAGGGCCAGAGCTTGCCTACCCCTGGTCACGTAGATCCAAATAACTTAGAAACCTCCCTCTCCAAAACAGAGGCAAAATTGTTGACGAGAAAGCATAAGGGCTCAATCACACCTATGCACATGCATTGCAGCACACGTGGTAACACACACACATAGTTGTGAATGGGCCCACACAAGTCCCCTTTAAAAACACGTTAAACTGCAGTGCGTTGAAGTGAACCAGCCTTTTAGTAAATAGTTTTTTTGCAATGCATTTCATGCAGTAACTTTTTCTGGAAGAAAATGGAGAGGTATGAAAAGGCCCAAGTGAAATTTTTAGTTAATCAGCTATTTAAAAAGGTTTTGGGGTTGTTTATTTGTTGCTTCAAGTTAAGATTAGCTGGGTAAACATGCAAATATGTATTTAGTTCCGGCTGCTGGCGGGTAGTAAATATGGAATATTCCTACAGTAGTTCATGTTTCCCTGAATAAAAAAATGTAAATATGTTTAGTCCGAAAACTAAGGAAAAATATATGTAAACATTCTGAAGGGAATTTATCAAAACTTGAGCAGATAAAATCTGGAGCAGTTGACCATGGCAACCCATCAGCATCTCTCTTCAGTTTGCTTAGGTAAGATTTGAAAATGAAAGAGAGAAGCTGATTGGCTGCAGTGCGACTCTGCTCCAGTTTTGGTAAATTCCCCCCTATGTGCATTCCCTTACTAACCAATAGGTTTATCTTTAGAAATAGAAAACCTCCTCTATTAGAAAATATTGTTTCACCTTTACTGCTGAAGTTAAATCTGCATATATCATATATATGCATTGTAGTGCAGTGAACTCAAATTAAGCAATTTCAGTATAGGAGAGGAGCTTGTACAACTGCACAAGACTGAAGGTGATGCTGGAAGGCTCTGCTTTAATGTAGCATGTTTTCCAATTTCAGGTGACAAAGCGTGATGAAGATTCCTCCCTGATGCAGTTAAAGGAGGAGTTTCGCACTTATGAAGCACTGCGCCGAGAGCACGATTCTCAGATTGTGCAGATTGCTATGGAGGCTGGCCTGCGCATCGCTCCTGATCAATGGTCCTCTCTTTTGTATGGGGACCAGTCTCACAAATCTCATATGCAATCCATAATTGACAAGGTAACCGCCTCATTCCTGCTCCTGCCACTTTGTTGTGTCTGTCTTGTTTTCGCTATATAATGATTGGACCCCATCCTTATTTTGTAATCTATGGTTCTGTGTACCTACCCTTGTATTTTTTTTTTTTATATGTGTTAGTTTGAACATTGTTAGTTCATTTATTACAAGAAAGGTTTTGTTAAGTTGCAGACCCCGGCCTCGTTTGCTCAGAGTGTCCAGGAACTGACCATTGCTCTGCAGAGGACTGGAGACCCGGCCAATCTTAACAGATTACGTCCCCATCTGGAGCTGCTGGCAAATATAGATCCAAGCCCCGGTAAGTGCATGTGTACTTGCAATAAACCTGACACAAATCTGCAATTTAAGCTGCACCCATGAACAAAATATGCGTAAGCATGGTTTACTTTGTTCTAAAACCGCATGGCAAATCGGTCCGAATATCTGAGATCATAGCAGCTGAAATGATATGCCAGTCTTGACTCTTTCTTCAAAAGTTGATCATGGCACCCCACCACTTTTCACCTCCCAAGTCTTACAAGTGTTACTATACTGTAATGAAGGCCCTCATTAGCTAGTAGTGAGGCTCTGGATTGGGGGGGAGAGAATGTCAAACTTAACTTTTAACAGAAGTCAAATTTCCCTTCTTCATCTGTGTTCTTCCAATGCATTTGTCATATTGCCCAGGTTTGTGACAACCTTACTTGTAGCCATTACATATTAATTGGCTGGAAAAATGAATTGTGGCTGATCAACTCTCCCCTGAGCAGGCTCAGCCATAGTTGTAGAGGTGGCTGCAAACATAGAAATGTAAATGGCTGGATCAGGCCTTCTGTGATTTCAGTAGGGTACCTTTACTACTTGGTAACCACTCCACTTATTTATAGTAGAGGCATTAGTTGTACGTTGGACGTGCAGCTGACTGTGACTGCTTACAGCAGAATGGTCTCCCTAGTTTGTTATACTACAGATTCATGCACTGAGCTGTTTGTAGCTTGTTCAACAGCACCTGCACTGCTTGCTTCATTGGTTTGAGTACTTAGCCATAAGCTAGCAATACACGTGTAGTGTTTTCTCATTCAGCCTGTGGAAAAGCATAAAACCGTGTCATTTCCCTATCTACGTTAAACGGCATATACGGGGGAATCTCCCATGCCTATTATTGTATGCTGACAGCCAGTGCCTGCGATTGTCAGGATATTCAAACAGTGACTGCAGCTGTTTGGGTGGAGTTCTGCTTAAATCTTTAAAGAACGGATGTGCAGAGAAATGCTCCTCTATAAACAATGCTATCAGTCCTTTATAGAATACTGTGTGAAGAGGATGTCGTTTGTAGCAATAATATGACATTTAGAGAGCTTTCATTTTATTGAATAATTATTTTCCAGATGCTCCGCCTCCAACATGGGAGCAGCTAGAGAACGGTCTTGTGGCTGTGAAGACTGTTGTTCATGGGCTGGTGGATTACATCCAGAACCACAGCAAGAAGGGGACTGATCAGCAGCAGGTGAGCGAGGCGCGGAGCTACTGCATGATTCAGGTACCGCTTCCAGAGCTACAAAATTGTCTCCAACCAGTAACTTTTTTGGGGGAATCCAAGTGAAAATGTTGTTCTGCAAGTTGGAATATGACATTTTTTTTATACTGCTAGAAAGTGTTGCTGCTAATGCATTTAATTAGTTAATGGAAAATACACCAAGACATGTATAAATGTGCCTGGGACAAAAGTCTCTTCCCCCCCCCCCTCCCCCTCTTGATGTATTACTAAATTAGAGCTGCACAAGCTGGGAGGGAGGCAGAGGGTACGGCAGACTAATATAGATATTACCATGTACAGTATAGCACTAGTACTGCATTCTGCCTTCATTCCCAGCATGGACACAGCAGACCCATTCCTCTTAGCCCCATGTGCCTTCGTTTTCTGCCTCTGTCCACAGCAGAAATCTTGTAAGGTATCTGGCACCACGTTGGTCTACCTGTATTTTCTGTACATGTGTTTGCATAATACCATTTTTGAGTTCTCAGGTGCAATGCTTAGTATGGTGCTGGACTTTGTAGATGCTTGGCATTCCTGTACATACATGGGTCATTTTCTGTGGTATTTGGCATCATATGCAATGTGGTGCTGGCCCCTGTATTTCCTGATTATATGGCCACTAGGCATACAGCACCATATTGTGCACGGTACTTGGTGCATTCATGCCCACAGATCAAGCAAAAACCATTAAACTTGCATGCTGTTGCTTATTTGGTTAGTGGCCTCTAACCCCGTAAATAGAATTGCATTGATATCTCCATTTACTATGAGGCCTGCAAGTTGGCTGTGAATTCTCCGTAGCTTCCTAACTGCACATCTGGCTGCCAATGGGGTGGAAGGAGCACCTGCATCTTATGTTACAAAATCGGAGGGAATTTTGTCTGGCGTTGAAATTCAACCCATGGGTGGCCATGTCAGCACTCCTCTGCTTGACAAAAATTAATTTTTCAATTGTCCTTTGTCGAAGCAATGGTCTAAATATTCCTGGCCGAACAGGTCCCTCATCCAATCAGATGCAGGCAATTTTCACGTATTCAGCATCTGCTGAATACAATAGCCAGTTGAGGGGTATTCCTCCATCCTTGCTGTTTAGCATGGATGGAGGAACCTGTTGGATTTTTACAAAAAAGATCTGTTGGTCTATGGCCAGCCTTAGGCAGCAGAAGGTACTTTCTCAGGTACTCGGTGTATTAAGGTGTCTATATTCAGAATGCTGCATAAGTGGGTTTTTTTTAAATATAATGCTTGTATTTCATCATGGACAACCTGAAAAAGGGTTCTCAAAGAGGCTTCTGTAGAGTGATTCCCCATTGTAATAGACATTGTACCTGAGAAACATCTTTCTGCTACTGATTTTATTTCTTTATGCTGAACTAAGCATAGGCTCCTGTAGTCACGCTAAGCAATACAAGGTAATTGTCCAGGAGCATCATGGGATTCTATGAAAGATGGTTTTCAACAAAGCTTGGGAAGAAGAAAGTTTGATGACATCAATTCACTACGATCTATCCAAGGCTTCGTTCACACTACGTTTGAATGTGCGTTTAGGGATTCCTGCGGCCGGAATCCCAAATATACCATTTAGAAGCACTCGTTAAGTTAATGATCAGGTAACAGCAGCTGCATTTGAAAGCGGCAGTCTGTCAGCACTGTCCTTGGACGCACGATAGTTGTATCCAGGGATAGTGATCTATTTCTAACTGCATGTAATCGTATCACATACGATTACACGTGGAGTGCCGACGGACTGCCGCTTTCAAATTCGGCTGCTGTTGTCCGACCATTAGTGAACAAGTGCCATTTCTAAACAGCATATTTGGGATTCATGCCTCAGGAATTGATAGGTTACTGCTGCAGGAATCCCTAAACGCACACACATAGTGTGAATAAAGCCTTAGGGCTAGTTCACCAGCCACAGTGCGTTCCTGGCGATTTGGGCCGGAACGCACTGGATCCGCATTCTGGCTTGTTTACTTTGGTTTGTGGCTGGAGGGGGGGTGTGACAGTGCATTGAAGGGAATGGCGCCGTAGCCACGCCCTCCGGCCGCAATGCAATCGGCCGTACGGGAACGCTTGCAGCATTTTTTCTGACCGGACCACAGGCATTGATGTGCCTTGCGTTCCTGTGCGGCCGATCGCATTGCGACCAGAGGGCGTGGCTATGGTGCCATGAGATCCAGTGTGTTCCGGCCAGAATCGGGCCACAACGCACTGAGGCTGGTGCGAACTACGGTCAGTGATCTGCCTAGGCTTCATTCAACCAGGAAGTGCTGGCAATCCATTTTTGTTTTCATATTAATCTTTAAATTTACTTTCACATATATGAATATTTTACATTTATGCATCAGATCCACTTAAGCAAGGGAAATTGTAGACCGTTTAATGTTTCTGTTCTTGGAGGGGACTTGTCTAAGAGGTTTGATTTTAAAGGGCTTCTTGCGCACTATGTAAATGTTGTTGCTACTGGGTTATTTAATATATTGATATTTTCTTGTTGGCAAATGAATGTTCATGTTGTAGAAAGCCGCAATAATGGTTCTTTTTGCTTGTACAGCCTCCACAGCATAGCAAGTACAAGACCTATATGTGCAGGGACATGAAACAGCGAGGAGGCTGCCCCCGAGGAGCTAGCTGCACCTTTGCTCATTCCCAAGAAGAGTTGGAAAAGTAAGCAATTTTGTTTTTAAATGTTGATTTTGCTTAAAATACAGACATGGTAGTCTAATCGCCCTTTCAGCTTTGTATGGTAAGGATAACTGTGCACATAGGAATATTTTGTCCCATATGTCCCCAAAAGGCCTTGTGTCTATAAGAATGCTAATACAGTGCCTTTGACACCCTTTTGTCCATTGAGGTGTAGGAGGCGATGTAATCCAAAATGGACTTTCCTGAGCAGATGTTTCTATTTCCCTAAATGAAGACAATCTCCAGGAGCGTGTCCCCCTCTGCACAAAACACATACCTTAAAGTGTATTTCCACTTTTGCAGTCAAATTTAGGAAAACCCCTCTATATGTTTATTATGTGTTCCTATTCACACAGCATACTGGAAAATAACTTTTTTTTTTTAAAATCTTACTTTTTTAGATGTTTTGTTAAATCAGGCAAGATGGCTGATTCCAAGCTTGTCTTAGCCCTTTCACAGTGGTCTGTCCCAATGGAAAGTCTTGGGACTGATATTTGTGGATTATGTTTATCTGATAAGCTTCATTAACACACAATGGAGAAGCAATCTTTGAATGGATGAGACCCCCTCACCCATCACAGTCCCTCCTAACATTTAAAACCAATAGACGCTTGTGCTATGTGACTGGGAACATGTAGCAAATATAAAATAGTTGTTTTCCCAATTTGGCTGTGAAAGTGGAAATACACTTTTTAAGCAATCATGAGAGCATTCAGATCCCCGTCGTATCTCTATAGCAAAGCTGAGTAAACTATGTAAAACATTACCTTTGGTGGATACAGGTGTGTGCCACCTTGCTGTCTGTGTTTGGTGTAAAGGGGTTAAATGTATTTAAACCCAAGAACAAAAATGTTATATATTGCAACCTAACCTGTCCATAGATGGGGTGGCTGCATTTGTTTTCTTTTTTTCTGTTTTTTTTCGCCCTATACCCACCTGGCAATCCTGCCAGCAGCACACTTTTAGGGTGAGGTGACAATTAGAGATGTACCGATACTAGTATCGATGCCGAGTATTTGGGTGAGTACTTGTACTCGCCCAAATGCTTCGATGCCTATATCAGGAAGCCGGGCAGCGTGTAGGAAGTCGGCTCCATGCTCCCTCGACACTTGTGACTAGGGAGCCGGCTTCCCGGTCAATCAGAAAGCCAGGGAGCGTGTAATGACTCGCTACCCGGCTTCCTGATTGGTCGGGAAGCTGGCAATCAGGAAGTCGGGTGCCGTGTAATGGCGCGGCGCCCGGCTTTCTGATTGGCCGGGAAGCCGGCTTCATGCTCTCTCGTCACATCATTGGCCAGAAATTTGGCTCCATGCTTTCTCGTCACCTAGTGACGAGAAGCATAGGGATGGCTTCCCTGCTAATTGGGAAGCCGGGTAGTGAGTCTTTATACGCCGCCTGGCTTCCCGGCTAATCAGGAAGCCACATGGCAAGTCATTACACGCCACCTGGCTTCTTTAATGGGACTTTCGGTATTCAGTATCGGCGAGTACCAAAAAAAAATATATCGGTACTCGTACTCAATACCGGTATCCGTGCATCCCTAGTTCACTCACCATATTAGATCTGTGGAGGAGCACTGTTATCACCCCAGGATAGGTCCATAGAACACCATCCATTCTCCATTCTCTCTCATGAGGACGGGTGTTGTGTACTCGACAAAGAATGCTGGGAATAGCATGCACCTAAAGCTGAAATTTCCTTTTTTGGGTTAGCTGACCTTTTGTATTATACTATGTTTATATATTCCTCCTGGGTCTGGCTTAGAAAGTAAATATTTTTTTTTTCTTCTTTTTCCTTTCCTTTCCTTTTTTTTTGTTGGGAAAAGGTTTAGAAAAATGAACAAGCGATTGGTTCCTCGACGCCCACTGAGTGCCTCTCTTGGTCAGCTGAATGAGGTTGGGTTGCCCACTGGGGCCATACACTCAGATGAGGGTCCTATGGATCTACCTGGTCGGAAGCAAGCTGGCCTTCCCAATGGCATAGTGTCTGGAGGTTCTGTGACACAGCTCATCTCCCGTGGGACAGACTCCGGCTACGAGTCTGTTTTGAAGCCGGTGAAACTGGATCATCTGAGCAACAGTGCCCCGGGCTCCCCTCCAGAGCTGTATGTTACTGTTTTCTCCTCCAATAGTCGCTATTCCCTTGATAAGTGTTGATAGTAGCATGATTGCACAGGTCGCAGCATGTAGCGTTATTTGAACACTGACAGAGATCAGAAGATTGTGATGCATTGATTGTGAATGTGTTATTGCTATTAGAAGTTTATGTTTTCTTTTCTTTTTCTTCAGCCATGACTCCGTGACAAAAACTTCCATTGCCTCCTTACCTGTCAGCTCACATCCACCTCCACAGCGCATTTCTGGTGATCTTCCCCCATTGCCTGTTTCTAAACAAATCCAGATGGTACCACGAGGTTCCCAGATTTATGCTTCTCCCCAGACAGATATGTTTTATCCTGACCCAAGGGGAGGAGGGCCTCCATTTGAACCTGTAACCTATCAGCCAAGTAAGTTTAGCTTCATGTTCTCATTTTCTCTGGCTTTTTTATGCTGCATGCATTTTCCTATACATTTGACTGTGCTTTTGGGCCGTTTTGGCTTGCAATCCAATTTCAGGTGCACTTTTGTATATTTTTGTATGTATTCGCTGCTTGTAAATCCACTAAATGTCATCTATAGCTATAGCTTATGTTAAATAGTTTAGAGCAGTGGTTCCCATTAGGCTGATAGCAATCTACCAGTCGATCGCACAATGAACAACAGCAGATTGCGATCAGCGAGCTGCCTGCTGCGGTGCTTGTGCGGCTGAATGTGTCAGACGCTGCAGACGGAAGGCGTGGGACACCTCTGAGAGTCTGCACATTCGGCCACACGATCACCGTGGGAGGACAGGACACCGCACCTGAGAGGAGACCTGGGAAGCTGCTGCAGTGCAGGTAAGCAAAGACAGCCAGAAGAGAGAGCAGGCAGAGAGAGAGAGAAGAGAGACAGCCAAGAGAGAGGGCCGGTTCACAGTACAAGTCACACAGCCAGCACAAGCAGAAAAGTAGATCTCCAGATGAAAAAATTGTGGGCACCCCTGGTTTAGAGAGGAGCTAGAACATCTGTCTAGGTCAGATTCACCTTGTGTTTTAAGCTGGTGACCATTGTCACTGGACAGAACATGATGATAAATCCAAAATTTTTACCACCAGAATAAAAAGTATAGGAAAAGTTTCCAATCTTCCTATAGATCAGGGTGGGGAACCTTTGGCCCTCCAGCTGTGGTGAAACTACAAATCCCATGAGGCATTGCAAGATTCTCTCAGCCACAGGCGTGACTTGCAGAGACAGATGCATCATGGAATTTGTAGTTTCACCGCAGCTGGAGGGGCCGAAGGTTCCCCACCCCTGCTTTAGGCAGATAAATAGCAAGTGAGATGAGAAGGTAAGAAAGCCCAGTTGGCAGTGTACATGTACCCTAAGTAAGTCTAGGTCCTTCCACTGAAAACTCCACTCTTTCCTATAATAATGAGTTAAGTTGAGGTTGTAAAACCTCTTTGATGGCTTTCACATGTAAAATGTGTATTTTCATCAGCGTGCTATCCTATTTCTTAGCTATATTTCTCATTTGTTTTTTTCTTTCTTTCAGATGTATATTACCCACCTCAGCCCGTGTCGCGCTTTGTCAGACCTCAGCCATCTGCCCCCGAGTCCAACCCTACCTACCTCGACCAGTACCCAACCTATTTACAAGACAGGGTTGTTAGCACACAGTACGGAACCCCGACACAACAATATTCCCCCATGAACCAGCCCATGTACCCTGCACAATACGATACTCGCCGTATGTACGCTTCTGCTCCCCAGTCTTATCAGAGAGAGGAAATGGTTCGTGCCAGTCCTGTACCACTGGAAATGCCACCCAATGCTGGCTCTCCTTATGTCCCAGAAGCCAGAGACCGTTACCAGCCTGTAGAGGGCTATTACCCTGTCCCAACGCATCCAGGACAGATAAGACCACCCTATCCCCGGGTATGTGTGCAATGTATTTAATTTATTTGTAAGTGTAGATTGTGCCGTGTTTGATTTAGAATTCTGATGGATGTGTTTATCAGTAAGATCAAATTCTGGTCACTGGTATAGTCTTTTTTTTGTTTTGTTTCAGAATGATTGTTAATCTACTTTCATATTCTTTCTTGCTAAAGGAAACCTACTGCCGTTTGACTCCCCAACTTCAATCACAGCCTCACCCCAGCCTAGATGAACTTCACCGCCGTCGAAAGGAGATCATGGCTCAACTAGAGGAGAGAAAAGTGATCTCTCCCCCACCATTTGCTCCTTCACCCACCCTGACGCACCCTTTCCATCAAGAAGAGGTAAGAGTGGGCCTCAAACCATTCCTGACTGACCCTTGCACGCTTTCAACTATAGAAGCCAGGTTATACCTTGCATTTTTTTATACCACTTAGTACCTTGACGAGGAACTGAAAGTCTCTGGGAAGTACAAAGGGAATGACTACAGCCAATACTCGCCCTGGTCCTGTGACACAATAGGTTCCTACATTGGAACCAAAGACGCCAAACCCAAAGACGTTTCTGCTGGAGGCAGTGTTGAAGTAGCAGTAAGTTCATCTTCATTCTTCTTTGCTTTGCAATCAACTTGTCATTTTGTATCGCAACATGATCAACATTACCTCTTACCACAGTAGTAGTCGTTTAACCCCCTAGTGGCCAGTGACGTCCATAGTACGTCACTGGCATCTGGCCCGTTTAAACAGACTCCCGTTGGCTAAAGACTCCGGGACTCTGTTTACAATTGTAAAGCCGACTGTCGGCTTTACAATAGAAACGATTCTGGCGACTCAGCTGTTGCCAGATTGCTTCTCCAGGCCAGTAAACAGGCCGTGTTTCCCAGGCTCTGCTGCCCCTCCCACGGGCCCGACTTCTTGGGTGTCGGTGGGAAGCTGGGGAGGAGATCAGTGAACGTCCGTTCACCGATCCCCTCCCCATACTATGGGACTGGGAGCAATGCGTATTGCATCACTTCCGGTCCCATAGCTGTCATTAATGGGCTCCTGAAGCCCAGCAATAAGCTAGTGAAGTGTGATCTGCACTTCAATAGCTTATTTCAAGTGTAAGGGTGATACTAGGGGTATAGCCCCCGCGAGCACGCGCGTCACAACGTAAACACGCGTCGGGTGTGCCTTCATATGAAAACGACAATCCCGATTATACATGTTTGGTATCGCCGCGCACGTGCCAGAGTGAGAACAATAATTCTAGGGCCAAGATTTATGCGTATCTCAAAACTGATAATCTAAAGGGGCTTTTAAAGCATCGTCTATGGACTTTTTGGGGTACTGAATTTTGTCGCCGTTTCACAGAGGCACACAATTTTTAACCTGGGCATGTTGGGTATCCATTTACTCATCGTAACCTCACCTTTTATATTTTATTAAAAGAAATAATTATTTTATTGAGGTTCGGGGCACTAAATTTAACTTAAGTGCATTTTTCACAAACATTTTGGGTTTGATAATAAGTTGCACTAATATCGTGCAAAATAAAAATTTGCAACTGCCAACATTTTATTCTACAGGGTTTTGGCTGTCGGCAAATATATAATGTTTGGGGGTTTGAAGTAATTTGGATGTGGATTATAACATGTGTACAAAAATTGAAAGAAAAAAAAAAAGGCTTTGGTTATAAAGGGGTTAATAAGACGTTATCCTAGGGTTTAGTATAAGACTAGCCACTCAGTGAGATGAAGCAGTGCAGAGAAATAGTCTCCTCCCACATTATAATTATTTGGATGTCCGTACGTTTAGAAGTTTGTCCCTTTCAGCTCAACCTTTTTGTGGTCTTACGTGTAGCCAGAAAGGATTGCTTCTTCCTCACTGGGGATTCACCAGCCTAGAGTTTTAATAATGCAGGAGGTGATGCCATGGGATTGGAGAAATGTGCTTTGGCGGGCAATGGGAGCTGTTGGCAAAATTGCTCAATTAACTGTTAGTCTACATTATGCAGAATCCTTTGGAGGAGTATGATGCTATTATTTGGCGTGGCATATAGCCGTGTCATTTGGTGCAAATGCAGATTATTGCTGAGATGTCACCAATGCGTTCCACAAAGATTGGGACAGTATTAACCACAGTTAATTACAGGTTATGATAGGAAGGGACTAAAGTAAAACCTTCTCAAAACAGACGATATTTACATGTCTGACATAATCACAAGAGTTTGGAAACCCCCAAGGATAGGATGTTCTCATGGCAGGAGCACAGTTCCATTCAAACATATAGGACTTTCGTGTGCAGGCATGGGCAGCCCCGCCGTGCTGCAGAGAGTGAAGAAACCTGCAGCTGTCAGAGGAGGTTAGTATGGACCTGTGGTGGGGACAGCTCAGTGTATTGGGGGGATAGAATGTATTGTGAAATATGTACATATATTTTAAATGAACAGTTTTATTTAAAGGAGAACTATGAGATGAGTGATTTCCACTCACCTCATAGCCGACCTGTGACAATGAGACTGTCACGGGTCGGCTCAGTAGATCGGGAGGTGAGAGAACACATACCGGGTTCCCTCACCTCTCGATCCTGTCACGGCTCTCTGCCGTGACAGGGGGAGGGGCTGGATTCCCCTCTCCCCCCCCCGATCTGCCAGCGCTGACGGGGGGAACGGACAGGGGGAGGGGGCGGGTACAGCTGGCTCTGCCTCTAGATAGGCAGAGCCAGCTGTCACTCACGCAGCTGGGCGGATCCCGTCATCTACGTCGGGATCCGCTCCAGGTGCGGCGTCTCAGTATACCGCGAGCTGTAGCTCACGGTATACTGAGCTTAGGGTAACGGGAGACGCTAGTTTGTGTCCTCCTGTTACCCTAAGGAGAACTATGGGGAAAAACACTGACCCCATAGTTCTCCTTTAAAGAATTATATCATACACTGCCTCATCATTTTTTTTCGACTATAAAGCAAGCCTAAACCAGCCATTTATACATTTACCATTCAGACAGACCTTTCTAATCATGATTTAAGCTCTCATTGATCGTCTTGCGTACATTATTTCTTTATTTTTAATTTTTCTTGCAGAATGTTGATGGCAAAACCTTGAGGGATCAGCGCCTTGAGCAGCAACGTAGAGCCACTGACGCAGGAGAGGATGATCTCATTCCATTTGGCGACCGGCCTACAGTATCTCGTTTTGGAGCTATTTCTCGCACCTCCAAAGCCTTGTACCAGCCATCATGCCCCATGCAGGCAGCAATGGCAAACCAAGGTGTGACGGCAAAAGCCAGCGTTTCTGGCGGGTTTTCAGGGGAAGTGAGCCACAGTTGTTTTCTCTTAAAGAAGAATTATAGCCTGTTTTTTTTAAATTTATTTTTTTGCCTTAATGCATTCTCTGCATTAAGGCAAAAAACACCTAGCACTTTCCTACCCGTGCAGGGGGAGTGGCGCTAGCGGTCTGGATACCACTAAAGAACGAGGAAATTAAAAAAATTAAGTGTAAAATAACTTTTTTTTAAATAGCAAGTCTGGCCCCCATAATCCAGAAAATAAAAAACCCTGAAGGTTTAATGTCGCTTTAAGTAGACCTAAACCTACTTACTAAAATCTAAATTATTCTTTTATATGCTAATGTTAGTCTTTTATTATTATTTTTTTAGCAGCCTTTCAACAAATGGTTCACCAGGTAACGTGTTTTCCCCTCTTTCTCAGATTACAGTCTGTACAGCAGTCACACCAGCCTGGGAGGTGCTTCATATACACACCCTCAAACTCTTGCTTCTCAGGGACATTTGAGCGAGAGGTAAGTAGAAATGGGTCATCTAGGTTTGAGTAAGCCCCACTAAGCCTTGACATGCATTAAAGCAGAATTAAACTCTGCTGTTGAAGTTCAAGGTTTTTGTCATAATGTGCACAACAAATTTGCACATAATTGCAGACTTGGCTGCCATAGTGCTCCAATTCAACGTGGTGACGGCCTTGATGTCATTCTGTTGCTGCCATCTTTGCCTGCTTCCGGGTTTGGCATGTTCAGCCGTCTTGATTACACAGCCTTGGTAAATTAACTTATGCGCGTGGGAATTCATTCATCCTTGCACCGAGCAGATGCTGTGATTGTACACTGAGGTGCACATGCGCCACTCAGTGTACATTCACAAAAAACATTGCTGGCAGGCAGGAAAAACTGTTGGTGGAGAAGTGAGACTTGAACACTTGTCATCATATATAAATAGTCCAGTTATTAAAGGAAAGTTGCCTGGCTGTCATAATGACCCTCCTGCTCTAGTATAGTAGGGTATTAACCTGGGACAGTATAGACATAAGGAATATTCTGACTTTCCTTATCTGGATAGTTGTTGCAGGCCAGCTACTGAAGCCATTGGGTCAGTGCAACAGCCAGGAAATTAGCCTTTTAGAAGAAAGTCAATGATGGCAGCCCTTGTGTTTTACGCACGGCAGGTTTACTTTAAATGACCACTTGTGATTTCTTGTTTGCAGAGATCGGATAGCAAAGCCTATGCCCACATCTGAGAAGCAGCTCAGGATGGAGTTACAGCAGCTGAACCAGCAGATCAGCCAGCAGACCCAGATGAGAGGCATGGAGGTATGATCTAACTAGCAGTCTTTGCGATTGTGAAATAGTTATTTACAGCAGAGGGTTTTGTTACACAGTTTGTGTTTAAAGGGGAGCTAGTATTATTTATCTATAGGGGTTATTCACAAAGGAGCCGAAGAATATAGCCGTAGCTTCGGCTAATCCTTCGATTCACTTCGGCCGCCGAGCCCTTTGGTTCAACCGAAGGGCTGCTATACGAAGTCACAGCCGAAGCGGGGAAAACGGTCTGCGAAGCAGATGTAGGTTACCATTGCTGACTGCTCCTTCTGCAAATCTTGCTTGCCTGTAATGCTGACCTAGTGGGGTTGATTTCTAAAGGAGTAAATGCTGTTCACTAGCAAAGTGAATGAGAATAAACCTATGTTCACTTTGAATACTTTGGCTAGCAGATGATTGGTTGATTAAAGTTAACATGACTTCATATTATTACTAAACATGGTGAACCTTTACTTTGCTAAGGGAAAAGTCTCCGCTCCTGTAGTAAATAACAAATGGTTTTAATACTTGAAATCACAGACCTGCAATAAGTGTTAAGATAGAGTTCTGCCTTCACTTGCTGCATGCCTATTCCTAGTCGGTGACTTAGAATATATGGAAGCCAGAGACTGCAAGGCAGCCAACATTCTCAGAAGCAAGTCAGCTTGATTTCTCTCGGTACAGGTTTAAACCATTTTAAAGCTAAAAGATCATGGCTCCCGAGTTTCGTTTAGTCAAGTAGCTGCTTCTCAAGAAAGTAGGCAGTTTATCACAGAGCATTTTGTAAGCAATAATAAAGGACAGCTCAGGGCACATGTATAGAACCCCATTAAGACTATGTGACCTAGTCCTTCAAATATGATCAAATAATTTTTCTGTTTCAAAGATTTGGAAGTACAACACAACTGTAGCACAATCCAACTGTGGAATACATTGCATAAGATAACACATTGTAGAGAATGTGATTTGATGAGCTGGACTGTGCCAGGATAGTATGCAGTTAGAAAGGGTACTTGGGTAGGATTACAGCAGGGGGATCTGGGTTTGGATCCACAGTGTGATGTTGCTGTTTACTTATGGTACAGAAAGCAGACAGGAGGTGGGTTAGAGGCACAGGTGACTGGTATGAAAAATGTTGTCATCCTACTAATGATATGGAACATAGAACATTTCTTTATCGACTACTTATTAGATAAAACTGAACTTTTCTCACCTAAATATTTTATAGGTCCCTAGTAATCGTATGCTAGTACAGAGAGAGCCCCCCGCAATGGGAGGTCAACAACAGCAGCAGCAACAACAGCAGCAGCAGCAACAGCAGCAGCAGCAACAACAACAACAGCAGCAACAGCAGCAGCCACCCCCACCACCACCAGCTAAGTGGTCCAGCATGTTGTCCAATGAACAACTGAGTCTTGAGCTGCACCAGGTGGAGCGCGAGATCGGGAAGAGAACACGTGAACTGAGTATGGTAAGTCCCATTTGCAGAAATGGTGCTGATAAGGGTAGAATATAAAAGCAGCCATTAAAAACTTTTTTTTTTTTGAAGGCGTAGGCTCTTGGGCTGTCATCCTTATTCTTTCTATACTACTTTTTAAGACTCTGACACAGGTCAAAGATGTGCATAGTCAGGACTCCAGGTCAGTAATTAAACGGTTCAGGAAGGATAAGATTGGCAACCTGGAGCCTCTTCCTTGTAAAGTTTTAAGTGATGCTTGGAAAATCAGTTTTTACCAGACTAGAAATGGATTGTTGTAAGCTATACAACCTTTTTCTAATGGTTTCAAGTAGCATCCAGATCACCTTCTGACTTTTTTGTATTTGTAGGAGGGTCACTCTATGGGTGTGAAGAGTAAACCAGATGTCATCAAGGTTGAAAATGGGCAAATAGATCCACAGACCAAGGTTCTGTCGCATGAACTCCCACTAAAATTCAGGTATAGGGACATTCTTCTTATACATTGTGATACAAGCCAGTAAATAGCTATTTCTAGCATTGGCACAGTCTGCCTACATTTCAACCTCAAGATATCAATTTTTTAAAGTAATTCCCCTAAGGTGAAACTATATCTTGGCTTAAGTCTTAATGAAACATCTTTTATTCTTCATCTATTTTTTTGCTTGTCCAGTAGTCTTGACCAAGAGAGCAGTTAAGATATCAGAATGCAACCTGGCATGATGTGTACTGTATTTGGTTTGTTGGACTAGTTACATGCTACTGTGGTTGTATTGTACCTTATATAATACAGTAAGAGCATTTTCTTTCTCATCCATCTCATCCAATAAGGGACACAGTGTTAAAGCTTCAGGTTATACTGCCACTTTCTCGGCTCTGATGATTTAACTCTCAAATTAAAGACTTGCGTGTCCTGTACTTTTCCTACTTCTTAGAAGCATCCCTTATGCTTCTCTATGGAATCGACTTCCACTTTTACACTCCCCCCTTTCCCCAAGCTTGGCTTTCCTTCGACCTGCAATACCTGGCATTCCAAGTAAGCCAAATCCACTCGCAAGCCCTTCTAGGAATGGAAGTGTGCCCCAACTTATCCCAGAGTAAGGGGGCATCTACAAGCTTATGTGGATGCTTGGAAGTATTGCATATCCAATGCTAGAGGTGCAAGAGTTGCTCCCTGTGTACCCTGCCCCCTCCTTGCTTTCTCACCTCCAATTTTCCAGCATCACCTCAGTGCCTGGCTAATTTCCAACATGCGTTCTCTAGGCTCTTGTATCATGGGGTCATTGCGCCAGTCCCTGCTTAAAACACTTTTAAAACACTTTTTTTTTTTTTTTTAGTTTACTGTTAGGGGCTTTTGAAAAAAATATTAGGAGTCTAAACAAACTCCTGATAATTACCTTTTTAAAATAGAAAAAGAAATGAGGACACAGAGTCCTCAATCTCTTTTTCTGCAGCCCCTGTTAGGAACGAACAGGAATCCTCTACACTGAGTGCTTCTGTCCATTCATAAATTGTATCTCTGATCAGCACCGTTGTGCACAGTCTCCCCAATGTTGCTCCTCCTGTCAAATCTCCTCTGAATGTGGTTCTTTCTATGCTTCAGGAGCCCCCCTTTGCACCTGTAAGAGGCATCCCCCTTCTCTGCTCTGACTCACAGGCTAGTTTTCTTCTTGTCACCTCGGCTTAGATGTTTCCGAAATGGCAGGTTTTTCTTGCAAGGAACCACTTTTGGTCCCACTTAGGGACAAGGTGGTTTTGAGGCCTAGACCTTCTCCTCCTCCTCTCCTTGTTGCATTTCACATTAATCAGAACATTGTCCTTCCCTCTTTGAGTCCAGCTCCAGTTCACCAGAAGGTGATTTTTTTTCCCCCACTATCTCTAGATGTGGTTTGGGCTGTTTGAATATGTCTCTCTGCCACTTATTCTTTACGGAAGAAGGGACTCTCTTTTTGGCATTCTGGATGAGCCCTTGATTAGCACCCCAGCTTTTAGTGTCATCATTTCTAGGTGGTTCAGACAGACTATTGTGCAAGCTTATATTCTCAAGGCTCACTTCAGCGGGACTGTGAGTGTTTCTTGGCCATTTCGTCATCAGGTCTCGGTTTCCCAGGATTGTAAGGCTTCCACCTGATCATCAGTTCAAACATCTTCTAAGTTTTATCAGGTGGACTTTTCGGCCCCTATGATGCTAGCTTTGGGTATAAGGTTCTTCAGGCTGCTCTTTGAGCTGCAGGCAGTCTCCATTTCCTATTCATACATTGGGCCAGTTAGTGGTTGTTCACTATGTTGCCTATGCCCCAGTCCAACTGCTTTCAGGCATCCTAAAGGTTTAAATCTTCTTGTATTTGTCGTAGACCCATTGTATCCCTCAATGGACTCCAAGAAAAGGATTCTTTAGTGAGCACCAGGATTCTATTTTTTTTTTAAATACTGTGTGGGATGGGGATGGTTTGTTTTTGGTAATGTGGTTTTTAAATGATTTTATGAATTAGGGATTTTGGGAGTTTTTATATGTGTGAATTATATCATGTATAATTTTTTTGGTAGTTTAACATTTGTTTTTTCATTCTGATATCTGAAATGTAGCTAGCTAGTTAACATTGAAATATAATTTGGGTAGTTTGGTTAATTGTAGCAGAGTAAAAGTTTCTAGAAAAATTCTTCTTTGCCTATGTTTGTCACATAAAGGTCATCCACTGATTTTTATTTCAGCAGTGAGGTGCCAAATGGATCGAGCTTGGCCCAAGACATCACCATGCTTTCTGGAAAGACTGCTTCACTAACTCTTTCAGAAGATCCCCAAGTCGGCGATGACAAAACCGAGGCCCTGAGAACTGGTGTCAACTCTGCCACTGCTCCATAAACAACAATAAGGGCTTTCCTGCATACATAAGTTGTTTTTTTTTTGTCTTTTTTTTTTATTTTTGCCTCTGAAAGTGTTTCAATCTAGTGGGAAAGTATATAGAAAATGAAACAGAGGTTTTTTGTTTTGTTTTTGTTTTTTTGTGTTTTTTATTTTATATATATATAAATATATTGGAGGGAGAGCTCAGAGCAATTGGGAGTGTAAAAAAACAAAAAGTTAATATTTAAGATTTGCTTACATAACCCCGTTTTTGGGGGTGAGAGATAGCTAAAACCTGTGACCCTGCTCTTCTGTTCCCTCCCCTCCAAAGCATGACAGGCTAGGTATAAAATGTGCATTGAAAACACCACTAGTAAGAACAACCTCTGCACATATTTTCACATTAACACATTTTTTAATAAAAAAAAAAAAAATTATACAGAATACAAAAAAATATATATTAAAAAAAAGACACAGATGAAAATTAGCAGTATCTGCAAGCAATTCAAGATTAGTTGTTTTTGTTCTGTGAATGAACTTAATTTTAATACCTTTGGATGCCTTGGATGCAAGGCTTTAAAGACAAAAAAGGAAGATATTATATATATATACTCTGTTTGATTAATTGTACGATCTTATTGCTGTAGATTTACATTTATTTTTTTCTTGTTTTGTTTGGACGGTATTACATAGCCAGAGATCTATACAGCCCTATGTCATTTCTTGTGGGGGGAGGGGGGCCGCTTTCCTTTTGAGCGGCCAGTCCTTATATTTTTAGATAGTCTTTATATTAGAAGTGGTGGATGTAATCTTATTATAAAGGCTTTGCAATGCTTCTCTTGCCTGACACCCGCAAATATAAACTCGCTAGCAGTGCTGTTCAACTGGATGGCAAGTTTATAGGGAGTAAAAAAAAAACAAAATGCTTGAGGCAGGGTGTATAAATTATTTTTTTAATTCAGATAAACTGATTTCTTCAAAAGTCTCAAGATTCAATATCAAAATTTGTCATCAGACTTTTGTCACCAGAAGGAGCCAAGCGTGAGCTCATTAGTAGGGTGAGAGTTTGGCGTGGGGGTGGCCAGTGTGGTGATGATCATTAAGTATTCCCAAAAACATGCTGGAGACAAGAGGGGGCTAACTGTACTGAATTGCACCCTCTTTCTGCTATCTAGCCACATAGTGCAGTGGTGGGATGACCATGCATTACTTTACACATTTTTAGCTTGTCTGTGTTTCAACTGTATTTTTTATGATTTGGTTGGAAACTTATTTAAAAAGAAAAAAAAGCTAGAAAAAAGTTTTAAAGTTTATGTAAGGTTTTGTTTTTGATAGATGAGGGATGGAATAGAACCGGTGTCCCCAATGGGGAGCATCATCCTCTGTCTTGGTGACCATTGTCACAGAGACAAATAGTGAAGGGAAATCCATAATTTTTGAGTTGTCACCAGACCAAGAGGTGACGGCTAATCATCCAATTGAGACAAATGTTCCCTTGGCAACTCTCTCAGATGGGCATTATCCTCACTTTTGGGAGATTTCCTCCTGTTTCCTGATGCTTTTCCAGGAGAGGAAGTGAATGAAGGGAAACCTCCCCAGCAGGACAGAGGTGGCACACAAAAAAAATAAAATAACCTGATGAGTTTTTAAGTCTTCCCTTCTCTATCCAAAACTGAAAGAAATAACCTTTGCCTATAGATACATTTTATCACCTCCAAGGGAAGTAAACCACCCTAAAATGCTTCCACACAAACATCTTTGGAGCTTGTATGGTGATCTCATGCCCGTGCTTTGCCATCAAATACAGATCTTTTTTTTTTTTTTGCCTACGGTTTTAGAGCAAGAGAGAGATTGCCAACCCAAGTCTGCCTCATTTATCAGTGTCTGAAAGATATCTCTGAGCTGCAGCAACCTATCACATCCATTCACTATCTGCCCTGCACTGTCATTAAAAAAGGGATTATGTTACAGGTTGCAAGGGGTCCCATAGACCGTTGTTCTTTCAAACACATTGGTAAATAAGTGGCCATGTATTCCTTTTATTAAAGAGGAATTCGAGCTGGCTATGTAATAACTTCCCACATTGTTCTGGTGGGGTAAAGCAAGAATGAATTACTTTTTTTTGTTCTTTGTATTAGTGTTTTTCCTTCTTTCACCTTCTCTCTCTCTCTCTCTCTCTCTCCCCCCTCTCAAGTATCTCCTTAATCTTTAACTCCTGCTGGGTCAGTGTCCGCCTCAGCGTTACGTTCCATGAATCCTATATCGAAAGGCGTGTCAACCAGAACTATTGTACAATATATGTACCTTTTTATGATAAAAGGGTGGGTGTCCGAGGTCCCTGGCTTTGCCTACCAGTTGATGTTTCCAAAAGTGAAGGTGCTTGGATTTGAGCGCCTGTTTAATTTTTTCCTTATTGCCAGGAGGAGGCACCGCGTTTAATATACTGTTTCACATTGAATTAAATTGAACATTTCGGACCTGCCGGTCACACATTTGATATTTACATATATCCGCTTGGAGTTCAAGCTAACTTTTTTTTTTTATTTAAATAAATTACCATAGCATTATGTGTGTTTTGTGTACATCTGCAATGATAAGCAAACACATGAAATATGTTTTAAGGTTTTTTTTTTTCTTCTTCTTCTTGGATGAGTGCAGCTTCTAGGTTCAGGGAGATCTGCGCACTTTGAAGGCATTTACAGATTTTTTTACTTTTTTTTTTTGGAAAGGCATTTAATCTGTGCACTTTATAGAAATTCACATGACCTCTATTTTCTTAGGAGATTCATTCAGGCATCCACTTTCCAGTAGCAAGCAATTAAACATAGGATTATATTTAAATATATCCATCTTGGTGCTATAGTTTACTGTATTACTACTTCTAGTGATAGCAAATAGATTTCATGGTTGTGCTAAAGAAACTGAACAACTTGGATGATAACCTCAGTGCTGCTAGGGGGCACTATTGGAACAAACTGATCTGTGAATTTTCCATGGTTGAAGACCCGCACTGGGGGTGGATTTTCCTTTTTTTTTTTTTCATCCTGAAAATAGAAAAACCTTTTAAAATAGAGATGCAATATTGGTACAAGGCATTTAGCTTTCTGTCACCATTATGTCATTAGTTCTAATAGACTGATGAGTTGCTTTTTTCTCCCCTGTAGTTACCTGCCTTAGGTAAGACTCCACCAAAAACAAAAAAATGCTTTGAATGAGCTGTTAATGCAAACTTACATATTTGTTTAATGTTTAACATCGGGGTAAGCAACCTTGGCATTCCATCTGTGGTGAAACTACAAGTGCCATGAGGCATTGCAAGACAGTTAGCCAGAAATAGAGGCATGGTGGGGTTTGTAGCTTTACCACAGCTGGAGTGCCGAGGTTGGCGACCCCTGCTGTAGATAGTCTGCTTCTGTAAAGATAACTGCAACCATGCATTGTTTCTCCTCCTATGTGCAGGTAGAACATGTTCCTCCTTTTGGTTATTAGGAGTCAGAGCAGCCTTTTGGGGTAATTGCCTTGCCGTTGGATAGATGTACAGGAAGTAAAAAAAAGTTGTTCCTTGCCCGGGGCTTTAAAACATTTTTCTAACAGCCTTGCTACATTAGTAGAAAGGCAGGTGGGCAGTGTTGAGGTTAGTGGAAACTTTAAAAGGGCTATATTGGATATAGAGAATGCAATAGTTCGTGCCCCAGTCATAAGGGTACATTAATACCTGGCTATGGAGGAGTTTTTCTGGCATATTGTAACAGTACATGCACAGTTAAGTGATGCTATGGTCATCTGTCTGCTGTCCAGTGACCAAACCAAGACCATAGATATCTAGAGTTTTTGCCATAGGAGTTCACAACGGGTAGTCCCAAACGCTGATTGGATCAATAATCGGTCTAGATACTTGAGTCGTGTTGTCTGCATTCAGAAATGAATGCATAGATGCACGTTTAATAGACCTATGAAGAACATTGTGATATTTGTACCTGCAGTCTTTGTACGTGCACCATGTGGCAGAACACCTCGTGGGTACAGCACCAATTGTTAAAGCTTACATAACCTGAAGCCTAGGTTTCTTCAGACACTATCAATCTTCCTTTCACTTGAATTTTTGAGATTTCAGACTCCTACTTCTCAACAAATGACTCTTTTTGTCTTTGTTTGCTCATAGCATATTTCCACCCACACAAGTTGCAGTTTCTGTTGGAAATTGTGCAGCATATGTGTCACTTTCCTCATACTTTATGCCCCCACTCCTTTACTTTGTCCACTCCCAGCTTTACCTAACCTGCAGAATCAGACTCCTATTCCCTTCGAGCTGCCTCATCGAAACTATAAAGAGAAGAAGAAGAAAAAAAAAAAAGAGCAAGAAAATGAAGAAGCATTCAGACGAATTTATTTAGCACATAACTTCTGTGAAGTTGCTGTTTTCTAATGGTGTTATAACTCAATAATGTAGAAACGTGGGGAAACCTTCAACTGGTAGGCACTGTACTCAGTAGCTGGGACCTCTGTGTTCTAACTTTAACAAGCACACAGCTGTATTAGACCTGAAGAAGTCTCAAGTCTTGTGATCAGCCTTCATTTCCTGTCGAGAGATCTGTGGAGCAGGGTAATGACCCGTCTGGCGTATGTTTGGCCCGGGGTGGGGTAGCGATGTAGACCTTGAGGAACAGCCTAATTATAGTTTAGCGATTTAATCTACTTGGTTAGTAAAATAAAAAATAATCTAGTATTCTGTTTTGTTGAGCCGAAACAATAATTTTAATAGTGAGTGAAATGTGATGACCCCTGTCTCAAAATGCTGGTTGTTAAACTGTTGGCTTGTTTGAATACTTGTCACCGTCTTAAATCAAGTCTGCAGATCAGGGAAGCTGATATCAAAACTCCTTTTTTTTGTGTGTTGGGTCCGTGATTCAAAGTATCAAAGCCAGAGGGATTAACACAGCATCCAGGGATCTTCCATTTCCAGCAAGAGATCAGCAATGGCAACCTCCATGATCCTGTCCTTAAAATCATCCTGAAGATTGTTGTCTCTCTTAGG